ACTAGTAGTAACAAGAAGCTACTAGGAACAAGTGCCACGCTAGTAGTGCAACGCTCCTATTTCAGGAGCAGGCCAGAATGGAACAGCTGGCTGCTACACTTCGGTGCATGGGCTTTGATGAGGCTCGGAGCGAAACACATAAATGGCCACATTCCCACAGGGTTTCATTTGGCCATTGCCCTTTGCTACTAGTAGCTTCTTGTTCCTAGTAGTAAGGCACTTGCTACTAGTAGCGATGCACTTGTTACTACTAGCGTGGCACTTGTTACTACCTATTGCAACTGATTTAGGTTGGAGGCAGAGCCAGATTCCCACCGGGTTTCATTTCATGCACTTTCTCGGCTCCTACGCAGCTGCTTTAGCTCGCGGAGCTAGCAGCAGACTAGGGGCAGCTGGCTGGCTGGCAGTCATCTTGTTCCTAGTAGCAAACATTGTTACTACTAGTAAGGCACTTGTTACTAGAAGCGATGCACTTGTTCCTAGTAGCATCTTGTTACTACTAGTAGGGGGCTGTAGCAGCTTCGTAGATCGGCGGAAGCCAACCGTTTTTGAAGTCGACCTTCCGTTTCCTCTCCTGAAGAGTGAAAGAAAGTATCCCGAAGCCGAGACCTCAATGGTATTGTTTTGTACTCTTTCTACTAGCGGCGGCCCTCAACCTAATTGTGAGGGCCTCCAACCTAATAGCGATGGCCGCCAATCTAATAGTGATGGCCTCCAAGCTAATAGCGATTGTTTTGCACTCTTTTTGTGACTTGATGCTTGGACTATTGCTCAGGATCTCGCGGTGCAGCAGCCAGATGATGATGACGATTTGAATGCCACCTCCTCGGATGAGTTCGTTTACGGGATGCTTGTTTCTGTATCAGTGAGTATTGTTGTTTCTTCCTCTCTCAAAGCTGCTTTTCTTAGCTTTGTTGATGTGTCTTGTTTGTAGGTGGACGCCCTGCTGCGTGATCGAACGTGACAATAAAAAAACCACGCGCTTGCCGAGCGTGTGTGAGTTTGCGACAGCTCTAGATTGATTGCATGCGCTACTTTTTTTCCTGTTTCGAGCTGCACCAGGCTGCTAACAAGTAGTGATGCACTTGTTTCAACTAGCTTCTTGTTACTACTGGTAAGGCACTTGTTACTAGTAGCGATGCACTTGTTACTAGTGCATTTTATTCACTGCAGCCATTTGCAACAACCGAGACATGTAGCTTACATGAAAGCTCCTGCCTGAACCTCAACTCAGAATCTAACAGTTGTAGATGTGTAGCTCTGTTACTTTGATAGCTTCTTGTTTAGATGCGTTGATAGCTTCAGCCCTCAGGCTGGAGTCAACTCATGGGGGACGCGAAGGAGGGGGAGATACTTCCTGATTTGGTGTTATTCTGTGCTGAAAGTTGTTTCTACTGGTAGTAACAAGTGCATCGCTAGTAGTAACAAGTGCCTTACTA